GCTGATGGTAGAGGGACACAGAAGAGCAGTGTGTGGTTGAGATGATGCCGTTTCCTTCACCTCCTCTTCAGTAACACGCTCTACGCTCTGGCCAAGCAGAGCCACAAGTTGGGGGCCTACAAACTGGGCCGCTACTCCTACGAGAAACTCCAGGAGCTGCACGTCCCCTCCCGCTTCCAGGAGTCCATCGAACTGGGCAGCCTGACCATCCGCTCCACGCCGTTCCACGACAGTGAGGTGAGGGTCAGAGGTCAGCAGGTGACAGCGCCACCCAGTGGGTCCAGATGAAGAGAACTGTGATGGGAACGTGTGTGTGTGTGTGTGTGTGTGTGTGTGTGTGTGTGTGTGTACTCACTCACCCCAGGATCTGAGCGGGGCCAGGGGCAGTGTGTGCATCAACTGCAGACAGCCCTTCATCTACTCGGCGTCTTCCTACGGTCAGTGAAGTACATCATGGAGTACTCGGAGTACTCACGTCTCCCCGCCTGTACTGTAATACCAGTGTGGTGTTTGTACAGAGGTCCTGCCGTTGGTGCAGTTCTACCTGGAGGAGGGCGTCAGTGACGAGGAGGCCGTGTCACTCATCGACCTGGAGGTTCCTCACGTGGACGACCCGGACTCGCACCCGCAGCTCACGGACAACGGTGGTATCCTTCAACCATCTGTGTGAGGGTTCAAATCCTGAGCCTGGACCAGGTGACTGTGGACCAGGTGACTGTGGACCAGGTGACTGTGGACCAGGTGACTGTGGACCAGGTGACTGTGGACCAGGTGACTGTGGACCAGGTGACTGTGGACCAGGTGACCTCAGGGTGATGAGGTGCTCGTCCTCCACTGGCCCAGATTCCGTGGCTAAGCCGTCGGCGCTAAGTCGTCTTAGCTCCTGAGTTAATAGTGTTATCCAGGCTCTGCTGTCTCATCTTCATGACACTAACCCACGGGGCAGGGATTAACCTGCATTAACCAGCAGATGCTCAAGGGCACTAGGGTCCACTCTTGTCCCAGAGCCAGGGTTTGACTGACAGGTCTTTTGAACCTTTTCTGTGAGCGAAAAAAGAAAAACCCTCAACACATCACAACACATCACAACACATCACCACACAACACATCACAACACATCATAATATATCACAATACATCACAACACATCACCACACAACACATCACAACACAACGCAACACAACACAACACACAACAACACAACACAACACCACACAACACAACACAACACACAACAACACAACACAACACACAACAACACAACACAACACCACACAACACCACACCTCACAACCCATCACAACACAACACCACCCAACACAACACATCACATCACAACACAACACATCGTATTGTTTCCCCTGTAGATTAACACACGCCCCTAGTGGTTACTTACGTGGTGTAAAGTTGAAGCATTTCTCCGGCTGTTTGTCTCTTAACCACCTCTGATCAGAGCTGCAGACCTGGAGGGTGGACGGCGAGGGGGGGGCGGACGAAGACCCCTTCACAGCCAAGATGAGCTTCGAGGTAAGAACAGCTGAGCTCATTAATATTTCACCAACTGAGCCGAGCAGCTTGGGGGGGGGGTTGGGGGGGGGGGCTCCATCATAGACTCTAAGTGTGCCCTTCTGTCTCCTTCCGTCCCCAACAGCAGGGGGGCTC